GGAATGAGGGGCTCCACACCTGCGAAGAGTCGCCCGGCTGGTTTCTAGTCTGGTTGGTTTTAGTTCCTTCCTGGAGTTCTGTTATATTGGCAATGAGCGTGCATTGCTTTCATAGAGGACATTTTCAAGGAAAAGAGAGAAGAAAGGAAAGGAAGAAACAGAAAAAGAAGGGAAAGTAAGAGAGAAAGAAAAGGAAAGATGAAGGGGAAGAAGGGAGGAAGGGAAGGAAGAAGATGAAAGAAATAAAAAGGTGGGGGTTCTGGGACTTCCCTGGAGCTGCGACCAGAGCGAGTGCGGCCCGTGCGGTGAGTGGCTGGCGCTGCAGGTCCAGGCGCTGCAGGTCCCGGCGCTGCGGCGCGAAAGCGCGTTTCGGAGTTTCCATCTGGGAAGCTCCAGGAGGCCCAGGGGGCGCGGGCTTTCCGGGTAGGGGAGGTCGTTTGGCGCGTCCCAGGAGACCCCCAAGAAACCGGCGGGGACGCGGAGCGGCTGGAGCGGTCTCTGCTGGGCCGGGAGGCTGACGCTGTCCTGGACCGCCCTCCGCGCCACCAAGCTCCAGTCCCGGCCAGCCGCGCAGGCGGGGAGGTCAGGCAGGGCTCTCCCAGGCGCCGGGCCGCGTCCCCGCCGCGATCTCCTTTTCTTCCTGGCGGTTTCGGGATGAGAAGGAGCGTTCGCGGAGGTAGGGTAGGGGGTGGTGGTAGTGGGGAGGAGATGCAGAAATTTCGTGGGTGCCAAATTTTTCTTTAAAGTTATTTTTCAATTGAGATACTTTTAAAGGAAAAAAAAAAATCCACCAATTTAGGATGTCAGTTCCAAAAAGTTTTTACGGAGGAGCAGCGTAGGGGCTGGGCGCAGAACTGGGGACGGCTTTGGCTGAACGGGGGCGTCTCTTCCATCCTGCCTGCCGCGCCCCTCCCCAACCCTGCCATGTGCACCCGCGCTCACATCCAAGCGCGCAAACCGACACTACTCACCCCCACCCCCGGCGAACCTGAAAGTCCTGGGTTCCCAGCCGTTGTCCCGGCGCGCCAGGGAAGTTCACGTGCCCAGTGCCCTCACCTGGATCCGCACACTCCCGCCTCAGCGCCCTTCACTGTGTCCCCAGGCTCTCACTTCATGTTCAGGGTTTCACTGGCGCAGGGGCTGCGGGCCAAGCTAATCCCGCGCCCCCGGGGTCGCCCTCACTCCGGGCGCAGCAGGCCAGACAGTGAGGGCGGAGATTGCGCGGGAGCCCCTGGCCGTGACTGCAGGCGGGGACCTGTGCCTAAGGCCCCGAATCCCCGCCTCAGCCCTGGACTCCACCATTGCCCTCTCCCTGGTGTCTCTGTTCATCCCAGTGGTCTCCCAGCTCTGCTTCCCAGCCCAGAGCGGGTGGTGGGGTTTGACTGGACCTTGGGGAAGCGGAGGAGGGACAGGAGGAGGGGGTCCTAGGCAGGAGGGACACCCAGCAGCACGCTGGCCCGGCAGTAAGAGCCGCAGCTGCAGTGTGGGCGCCCCTCTGCCACGGCGCGCTTCCCGCGGACCTGAGCAGCCTGGAGCGGGTGGGCCAGAGGCGAGGTTGCAGGTGCCGGAAGGGAGCCAGGGAGCAGTCAGGTGCGCAGTGGTGCCTGCGGCGGTCGGGAGCAGGGCTGTACCGGGTCCAAAGACCCTCTCGCCCTCCACCTCACCCGACCCCCTCCACACACCGCCGGATACTCAGTTAAGTTAGACGGGCGGCTGCAGGGGCAGCTGCATCTGTTCAGTGTGTGTGTGCGCGCGCGCGGGAGGAAGAGAGGACCCTCTTGCCTCTCCCGCCGCTCTCCAGGATCCCGCGGCGCTCCGCTACCTCGCTCTTCTTCCGCAGCTGAGCTGCCCGTCCAGGTGTGTGCGTGCGCTTGTAGGGGAGCCCCAGGCGCCGCCGCAGACCCTCTTCCTCCTCCATCCTCCTCCAGCGCCCCTGCCAGCCTAGGCTCCTTCCCGCTCCCCTTCCCAAGGTCACTATGGGGACGCGAGAGAGGGATTTGTGTTTAATTCCTGCCACTATTCAGAGGGAAAAGAAAATAAAGGGACCAAAGGCAACCAGAAAGCAGTTTACTTCAAGCCTTTATTATTGTAGATTGAAAGAAGTTTATATACAAGAAATATTTCCAGCAAAACACTCACCAAATGGCCTTCGAAGCAGGGGCCCTCCACCTCCCAGCCCCACAATCAGCAGCTCTGCCTAGGACTCCCCTCACTTGGGGACCTCAGGCTCTCCCCCCACCTCTCTTTCCCTGGACTCCATCACCCCAACATCATTCCCCAGGAGTCTCGGCTTTTTCTCTCTCTCTGGGGCGCTGCGAACCTCGCCAATGCCTCTCAAGCTATCTTCCTCTGGTCCCAAAGCAGACACCCCAACTTCCCTCCCATTTAAGGTGGCTTCCCCCACGGAAACCCAGAGCACTCTCCCCCTCAAGGTTTAGGTGCTGTTTTGAGGCCCCTGCAATTCAGAACTAGCTCGTGGTCAAGACCAGTTAGAGACAGTTCGTCATCAGCAGTGGGGCTCCTGTGCACCCAAAACAAGTGGGGGAAACTACCCTGCCCACCCCCTCCCCATCCCCGACATCCCTCCCCCTACCAGGGACAGGAAATAGACACAAAAGCAACACGGAACCCCCTCTCCCCGCGCGACAGGTGGGTGCCAGGCAACTAGCTCAGGTGAGCTGAGAGTCTCCTGGAACCCAGCTGCGCTCAGGGCGGGCAGGCGTGGCCAAGGTCTCTGTGCGCTGCGGGAAGCACCCGGCCAAAGCACTCGGCTGAGGGCACGCTGGGCAGCGGGTATAAGAAAATGCTGTAGAGGCAAAGTCCTGGGGGCATACGGACAAGGGCAAGCCGTATCCCGCGCTCAGAAGAGGATTTCCAGTGAGCCAGGCAGGTGTGAATGACACAGTTACAGAAGCAGAGTCCCAGGGACGTAGGGGAGACTGTTCATTTGGCCGAGGGTGCAGACTCAGTCTGAAATGGTGGCTCAGCACATCAGTGTCACTGGGGCCTCACCAAGCGTGAGTTGGTTTGAGGCGCTTGCATGTGGGCTTCGAAGGCTCGAAGGCCCAGCCCACCAAGTTCAGTCAATTGTCCGTTGGATGTTTAGACCCTCCGGGGCCGAGCGCCATGCAGTTGCTCATCATAGCGTTCCAACCAAGTGCGCAGCTCAGAGACCTGGTAGCCGTCGGGGCCACGGCCACCTTGGTACATAATAGTGCCACTCTGGATGACATAGAGACGCTCGAAGTAGGCGCCATAGGCCGAGCTGCTGGAGTTGGCCATGGTGTCGAGGACCAGAGCGCAGCCGGGCGCGCCTTGCTGCAGTACCCTAGCTGCGCTGACCCGGTCTTCCAGGCTCCGGTGTTGCGGGATGATGTAGGGGGAGTCAGTGGTGACCCAGCCGTCGGAGGGGTGCGCTTCCTCGATGTAGATGATGAGGAAGTCGACGTCGCGCTGGTACTTGGTGACCAGGCGCTGGAAGGCGCTCATGCGCGCCATGAACGGTGGTCAGGTGCAGCTGCCGAAATTGAGAACCAGCGGGCGGTTCCCTTGCGCGTAGTCGAGGATGCGCTGGCTCTGGAAGCCGTCGGGCAGAACCACCTCGGAGTTGGGCGCCGGACCGCCCTCGTGAGCCTGCTTGAAGAAATCCAACTTCTGGCCATGCCACACCGCCTTGAGCGACGCCAGGGTGCACAGGCGGTTGTCGTCGGACACGCAGATGGGCGGGTCATCGGGGGGCACCTCCTCGCCTTCACTGTTGAGCTCCACTTCGGGCTCGGGCTGCCCCCGGCGGCGGCGGCCCAGGAAATGCTTGCGGATACACAAGAAATCGAGGAGCCAGAGCATGAAGGCCGTGCCGAGGAAGCGCGGGAAGAGCACGAGGCACGAGGCGGTCTGGGCGCAGAGCCTCAAGGAGTGAAGCAGCAGGGAGCGGAGCATGGTGGCTGCAGGCCCCGAAGCCCCCTGGGACCCCTCGCCCTCTCCGACCACCAACCGCGACGCGGCCTGGCTAGGCATCTGGGCTTCGGCAGTGCAGGGAGTTCAATTTATAGCCGAGGCTTCAATTGGCGGGAGACTCCACCTCCAGCCCGGCCCGCCCCCTTGCAACTTGAGCCCGGAGGGATCACCCAGCGGCGCGGCCAATGCCCTAGAAATCGTGGGCCGAGGGCGGGTGCAGGCGGGCGGAGGGCGGAGCGGCCGGGCCTGGGGCCGGTGGGGGCGGCCCCGGGCCCCGCAGCCAGCTCTCTGGGGCGGGGGACTCCGGCCGCCGCTGCCGCTGGGGACCAGGAGCCCGACCGGGGACCTGGGCGTCCGCTGGGGAGGTCCTCCAGCTGGCGCGAGCGCTGCACGCCGCCCTGGTCCCCGCCGCCTGGCTCCGGCCCGCGCCCCCCTCGCCGCGCACCTGAGCCGAGCTCCCCGGCGGCCGCCGAGCCGCGCCGGAGCTCCGGTTCGCTTCCCGCGCGCCGCCGCCAACGCCGCCCACGCCGCTGCCGCTCGTGCGGGGCCGCTGCCCAGGTGCCGCGGGAGGCCGGGTCCGCGGCCGCCGCTTCGGTGGCCCCGGCTCCCGCCCCACCGAGGACGCGGGCCCGCCAGGAGGCAACTTTGCGTTCCCGCCGCCTTCCCGGCTCGCCCGCGGGCGCCGCTCGCCTGCCGGAGCCCGCCCGCCCGCCTCCCGCGCGCGCTCACACTCGCGCCTCGCACACGGCCGCCCCCCGCACCGCCCCGCCACGCACACCGCGCTCCGCGCCCCCCGCCGCTGCCCGAGGCTGCCGCGCGCTGCCCCAGCCCGCGCCGCCCTGGCCGCGCCCGCCCCGTCCCATCTCGTTCCAGCGGGGCGCCGCGGTTCCTGGGTCAGCAGCCGCCGGGGCCCGGCTGAGAGGTGCGGAGGGCAGAGCCCGCTGGCGGGTTACCGCCGGGCGCCGGAACCGGAGGGCTGGGGAAAGCGGCGCCGGCCCTGCGCCCCCAGCCGACCCGGGCGCGGGGCGCCACGGGCGTGGGGCGCGGGGCAGCGGGCGCGGGGCGGCGCCGGCCCCGGGCGGCTCTCCCACTAGGGGTAGCTGTTGCCTGAACGCCGGAGCGCTCCCCTCTCGCCGCTTGCCTCGCCCAGCGCAGCCCCGGCCGCTGGGCGCACCCGTCCCGTTCGTCCCCGGACGTTGCTCTCTACCCCGGGAACGTCGAGACTGGAGCGCCCGAACTGAGCCACCTTCGCGGACCCCGAGCGCGGCGGCGCGACTCACCGCGGAGGCGCCCGGACGCGTCAAGTGCGTACTTTCAACCGTAAATGGGTGCTGAGCGTTTAGGGGTGCGGGGCAACTCCCTAACTCGTGGGGCCCTGGCCGGCCTTGCCGCGGCGTCCGAGACCTTCTGATCCCTCGCTGCGCGCGGCGCGGGGTTGGCGACTTGGGCTCAGGGGCGGCGGGGCGGGGAGGTGCCTTGACCTAGGGTCCCAGAGGCCGGGAGCAAGTCTCCTTTCGCCTTGGACCGCTGTGTCCCCCAGGGCAAAGCCTGAACCAGGCCAGGAGGGTCTGTCCCCCGTCTGGGGAGCTGAACTGCCCGGGACACTGTAGCAGTCGCGGCGACTTGTCTGGAGCGGCGGGGCTTGAGCCCAAGTCCGAAGCCGCCGCCGCCAGCGTCCCGTGCGTCTGCAGCCCCGGGACCTGCCGTGGAACTTCTTCTCGGGACGGAGACCGCCCTAGCCGCCCGGGCCGAGGTAGGCGCTGGCTGGGCTCGATAGGGCGCGGGCGAATCGCTTTCGGCAGCGAAGGAACGTGTCGGGAGAAGCCAACCGCAGGACCAGGGCCCTAGCGGGCGCGCGGAGACGCCTGCCTTGGGCGGAGGTCCCCCCCTCCGGTTTTCGTGACTCTGGCAGGGCCCTCTGTCCCGTGAGCTCCCCCCTGGACCTGTGGCTCCAGCAGGTCAAGCACCCGAGTGTGCCTGGAGGATTGGCGGCGGGGTGGCCTGAGAAAGTAGCCCCTCTTCTCCATCTCCCAGTCCGGGGATTTCTCTGCTGTCTGGGGCAGGGGCGCACACCCCAGGAACTTACCACCTAGAGGGAAGCCAGCCCGGTCTCTCCCCCTTGCCTCAGTGCTCCCGAGCTGCCCCTCACCACTCTGGGTAGGGGTCTTTCAGGTGGGCTAGGGAATTCTCCTTGGAAGGCCCCCTGTCTGCTGCCCTCCATCAGGGCACCTGTGAGTTAGCCGGTCATCCCCTTTTCTGGCCTCTTTTTTGCGGGGAGGAGAGTAGAGAGAGAAGCCTCCTACTCGGCAGGTCTCTGAGAGGAGGTTTGGGGGGACTTCTGAGGTTGCCCCTCCTGGGCAGAGTCAAGGGGTGTTGAGGGTTCCAACTTTTACTGGACAATCTCTCAAGCTCGGACTCCCTGAGTTCTGGGAGGTTTCAGTGTAGGGCTTGTGTCCTGCCCCCACCCACACAGCATTTGGTGCAGGCACATAGGTTGGTTCCCCAAACCCTTTTTCCACAGTTAGTTTCAGAAAATGCATAAGCCACCTAAGGCTGGGAGAGCCTTTCTGTGCTGCCTGAGATCTGGTGGCATGTGCATGCATGTGTGTGCAAGTGTGTGTGTGTGCAAGTGTGTGTGTGTGCAAGTGTGCGTGCGCATGTGCATGTGTGTGGAAAGTATGGTCTGGGTGGTTGTAAGACTGGCCCCTCTAGTCCCCTTTGCAGGCCCAGCCCAATAAGAAGCACCTGATCCACACTCTTTCTAGCCCCAGGGATGGTTAGGGAAGCAGCCCTTCTTGAGGGCTGTCATCTGTTCTGGGGATCTATGGCTGCCTCTTGGGCCCACAGACTATACTCCATACCTCCGGACTCCATAATATTGGACAGGCTGGAAGGCCCATTTGACTCCTGCAGCCTCTTGTGCAGGTGAGGACAGACCCAAGGTGCGGGTGATACTGGCCTTTGGGACACAGAACCTGGCTCAGTAACTCCCACTCCAGTCGCCTTTTCCCTCTTCTCAACCCTCTCTCCTCCGGAGCAACACTTGTCCCTCCTTCCTTCCTCTCTCTAGGGCTGCACCCCCAGCTCACCTTAGACCTGGCCCTTCCTACCTGTTGCCGCTACTGTCTTGTCCCATCCCAGTGGTCAGGAGGGAGAGTACTGGCCAAAGGCCCAGCTCCACCTGTGACTCAGGGAAGCACCAGGCATCACCCAGAGGTCTCGGCCCCCAGAGGCCTGGCAGGCTCTGCTGTGGGGGAAGCAGAGTTCGAACTGGGGCTGTTTCTCCTGCCCTGCGACCTGACTGGGCCTCCCCCGCCTCCCTTTCTGTCTGCCCTCTTACAATTCCAGCAGGGGGCGGGCAGGGGAAAGAAAAGGAGGGACAAGTTGGACGGGGTCCATTTGGTGTCCAGGAACAACTTGGAGAGAGGCAGGGAGGGGACAGGCAGCAGGGCCCTGGCAGAGCGAGGGGAGGGCTGGCCTTTGGATGGCCTTCTGATCCCAAACGCATCCTCCTGGGGCAGTCTGCCCTTGAAAGGTAGGGCTTGGTGAACCCTGGTGCAGAGCCCCCCCCCCGCCCTCGCCACCTCACTGCCCCAGTGCGGGGCATGGTAGGCGGGTTTGCAATGGGTACAGTCTCTCTCTCCATTCCAGTAGAGCAGCTCCCAGGGCCCAGAGAGGCTGTCACTGAGACTTCCCTCTGGGGGGTGGGTCCTGGTGGCCCTGCGTTCCCCTGCAGGAGGACCTCCTGAGGCTTCGGGCAGGAGCTGGTGCACACCTGGAGGAGAGTGCTGGTGAACGACAGGTGTGTGCCTCAGTGTTCTTGCTGCCTGGGTGTCAACCCTGCTTCACCATTGGCCCTTTGTTTCCGTCCCCTCCACTGGCCTCTTAAAGCACAGAGACTCTCCGGGTACTTTCCTTCCTCTGGGCCTCCGCTCATGCTATTCCCTGCTCCCTTCTTCTACCTGGAGACCCCCATTCCTCCTCCTTCTCCACTGCCCTCACCTCCACCTGGGCCCTCTTAGCTCCCGGGAGATGGCTGAGCCCCACTCCCCGCCCGCTAGTCATCCTCTTCAGCAGTCCTCCTGGAGCTGTCCTCGGCATGGCAGCCTCCACAGCCCCTGGGTTTCACCCCTGGTTTCAAGTCTGCCTTAGACTCCAGACCTGCCCCTCCCAGGCTGGCCCAGATGGATCCTCTGCAGTGACTAACCCGAACCGGCACCGGGTGAGGACCCAATAAACCTTTGTGAATGGAGTAAATGAGTGCGGTGTGTACTTAGTGAAAACTCCTTGTTTGGGGAGAAACTCAGGTATTTCACTCTGTCCTTTCGTGCACCTGCAGCAGTGAGCCGGGGCAGCATGTCGGCAGCCGGGGCTGAGCACCATTGGTCAGGACCTGCCGCTGTGAGCAGACAACACTTCCTGGGAAGTCCCCTTGGGGCGTGGTGTCTGGTGAATGCACCTGTCACCTGGTCACTGGGCCAATCTGTTTCCCTTTCTGGGCTAAACAGGTCTTCCCATGGGTACCTGGGCCCTCCCAGGGAGGTGTTTACACTTCTCATTTACTTCAGAAATGAATTCTTCTATCCACACGCTTGTCTAGGTTGAGCATGGGGACACCCTGCAGGGGATGGGGTGGGAGATGGCCGAGGGACCCAGAGCTCTGGTCTGAGAGGTGTCCTCAACATGACAGATCTTCCTCCCTCTGAAAGTTTGAGGCAGGCATGGGGGAGGTGGCAGGACTCTGGGGTGACTGGGCAGGCTGGGATCCCAGCCAGGATGGCTTGTCAGGGCCCCAGGGCCTGGATCTAGCAGGGGTGTTTGGCAGCATTTGGGGATTGGAGAAGGTCTGGGGCTCCTGGCCAAGGAAAGGAGAAGGCCTAGGAGGCAGTGCCCTGGCTACTTGCTGTGTGACCCTGGGCATCTCTGGCCCCTTCTCAGGTCTCATCTGCATCAGGTGTGGGTTGGGTGACGACTTTGCAGTGCCTTTCCCATGCGGTCATTCTGCAGGCCAGAAGGTTCTAGGAAGTTCTAGGAGACCCTGTTCTGGCCCTGCCTGCTGTTCTGCGGCTGCTGAGAGCCCCACTTGAGGATGAAGGTGCCGCAGGACTGGTCCTACCTGGCCTCATGCTCTGCCACTTCCACCCAGTACCGCCTTCGCCTGTCCACTTCCTGCTGCAGCTCAGGGCCCTCCAGCCCGGCCTGGGCTCTGACTCGTTCCTGGCATGAGTGCTGCTGTGCTCCCTGGTGCTCAGCCAGATCCCAGAGCACAGGACAATGCCTTGCCAGAGGTTGCCTTTGGGTGCCTGTGTCCCGCCTGGAGCTGGGTGGGGCACTGGGAAGCTGGGCTACTTGTGCCAAGACAGACCGTGCTCTGAGCTGGGCCCTGAGGCTGGCTGGAGGGCCACCTTGCGAGTCAGTCCCTCCTTTCCATCTGTGATCCTCTCTGGAAAAAGGTGGGGTTCACCTGACCAGCAGATAGGCATCCCAAGTCCATGTGCTTCTCTGAGCCTCAGTTTCTTCACTGGAGAGGCGGGCCTAATGTTTGAATGTGTTGTGTTCACCATGACATGAGGGGCAAGTGTAAAGTCTATATGTGTGCATGTGTGAGTTCATGTGTGTGTGTGTATGTGTGTGTCTATTTACTTAAACCCAGCCTTGTTCCAGAGTGGATTTCAGGATTCCTCTAAGAAGCTTTGGAATGCCAGAAGATACCACAAGTGAGAAGAAAAAATAAAACAAGAGGAAGGACATACTTCCCATATGGGGACAAAGTACAGCCACAGTGTCCTCCACTTGGGCCATGGAACAGCCGCAGGTTTTGCCCTGATTACCCTGGTGGTAAAGTCTGATTGGCTTTGACTCCCAGTGTCCAAAAGATAAACATGGGTTGTGCAGTGGAGCCGCACACATGCCTGTGCATGGCCATGCCAGGTCAGAAACCCAGCCCCTCTGCTTGGGAGGCACGCAGGGCTCTGGCTGAAGCCTGAAGCTTGCGATCGTCAGAGCACAGACGTCCCAGGGCCGTGTGAAGTTAGTGAGATGAGGTGTACAGAGAGAGCTCGGGGAGGAGAGGGAGTCTCGATTGCTGTCACCCGTGGCTCGGAGATGCCTGTGACAGGTGACAGTGATGTGCATGGTGGTGTGTTCACTGATGATGCTACACTGTAGGCCCAGGGCTGTGTTGTGGTGACAGGTGTCCTCCTGAACCGTTTGACCTTTAGGGAGGCCCCCTTCACTCAAGCACTGGTCATGGAGGGGCTCTGGTCACACAAGGACTCAGGCACGTTTTTGCCCCCGAGGAGCCCCCCAGCCTGGCAGGGCCCAGGGGCAGGGTGGGTGGGATGGGTGTGCTCCAGCAGGTAGCAGGGACACCTGGCAAATGGGGTCGAATTGGGAGGCGTCTCAGGAGGTGGCCATGGGCAGAGGGACAGGCTTCTGGTTCTTTGCCACTGTCCTCTTTGAAGTCTGGCACCTGGGAACAGACTGCCTGGGACGTCTGTGCTCTGACAATCGCAAGCTTCAGGCTTCAGCCAGAGCCAATCCTGCTTGGGCAGGAAACTGTGGGCTCTCTTCTCGCAGGGGGACAAGAGTCATTTGAGGTACCTTCTGAGCAGGTGGGGGACAGCAAAGGACAAGAGGAGGCTGTGCCTGTGCAGCTGTGTGTCCCGGCACAGGCGCCACTTCACTCCCACGCCACCACATCCTCACTGGGTGACTTTGGGCAAGTGACCTGAACTCTGTGCCTCCATCTCATCTTCTGTAAAATGGATGGCACATCTGAGCCTACCTCCCAGGCACGGTGTTATGAGGACAGGTGGGGGCACGTTCACACAGTCCCCAGAATGGTGCCCACGGCACCAGAGTGCTCCGTAGGGAAATAGTGGCAGCTGGCACTGAGTCCCCAACATAAGCCGGCACTGTGGGCCAGTGCTACGACTCCTGCTTTTGGGCACTTCACAAGCTATGGCCAGGGGCCCACCACCTTTGGCCACTCCTTCCCCACAAAATTCCTGCCAGGGCCCTGCCAGATCAATAAGTCACAGGACTTCTCCATCACAGAAGCCCAACTCTGTGACACCTCTTGGTCCCAAGCATGTTCCTATCCCCCATTCATGTATTTTGTTAGGACCCTTTAGGGTTGCACGTGGCAGAAACTTAATCCACACTAACTTCAGCAACTTTAGCAAAGAAGGAATGTACTGGCTCCAGTCAGTGAAAAGTCCAGGAGGAGCCATGCCTTCAGGCACGGCTGCATCCAGGCACTCAACAGGTGCATCCAGGCACTCACCAGGTGCAGCCAACACCTTGGCCCGCAGGCTGTCAGCTCCTGCCTTCTGCTGCATCCGCGCCACTGTAGGTGGATTTCTCCGCACATGGGTGAGATGGCCCCAGGAGCTGTGGCTCATGGAGTCCTTGTAGCACCTGTCCTGGCCATCCCCAGAAGAGAAAGCATCATTTCCCATGGCAGAAATCTGGTGGAAACAGGAGAGAGGGAGTTGGCTCTCTTTGGTCGGATGTGGGTCTTGTGCCCATCTCTGGGAGAGAAAGGTCCTCACTCACAGAAACTGAGCAGATCCTGGATTGGATGGGGAGAGATGCTTTCAGAGACACACACATTCACTGCACTCACTGCAAGGATAGTGACAATAGTAGAAGCTGCTCTTTCTTGAGAAGTTATGACGTGTGCCAGAAAATTCTACCTTTTAAGGATATAGAGAGGTTTTTATCATCCCCATTTTACAGATGACAAAACTGAGGCTCCGAGAGGTGAAGTGATTTGCCTATGGATGCATAGCTAAGGTCTGACCCCACAATTCACACTCACAAGTTAGCAAGAGGTGTTTCACCAGGGTAGTCTGGGGGCAGAAGGAGTCTGCCTGGTGAGGGAGGGGAGGTGGAGATGTGGGTAGTGGGGAGGCCAAGAGGAGGGGACGCCAGGACCTGGCCTCTGGCTTGCACAATGGGGAGGGAACCCTGGAGAAGAGGTTTATGGGGGAGGCCGCTGAGTTTTTTGGGCACATATGCTAAGTTGGAGGTGTCCATGGTCCTCAGGAGATGTTTGGGATTTGGGGGACAGAGGTGAGCCTCGGCATCCTGGGAATCATGGCTGTTTGCTTTGCTTTGGGAATTTCACAGTGGGTGGGGGGAAGGCGGCTGCTGACAGGAAGCACTTCCCATTTGGTGGAGAAGGCAGCTAGAACCTGCATGGCGCAGGCTACGACCTGGGCCTGTGACAGTGTCTACAGCCGGGGCCACAGGTTCAAGACAGACGCAGGGCCTGAAGTTCTCTGGCAGTTGTTTTAGGGCAAACATGTTGAGAATGGCATTTCCAAGGGCCTTGGACTGTGCCGGGGCACCAATGCCAGTAGGCCGGGGCCATTCCATGAGGACCACGCCTTTCTGAGGGATGCTTGGAATCCCAGACTGGGGTTCAAATTCCGACTGTGCTTCCTAGAGGCTATGTGGCCTTGGGCATGTCTGGAGCCTCTCCGGGCCACAGTTTGCTTATCTGGGAAGGAGTCATGGAAGGAGTCATGGTAGCTTCTCCTCATGGGTTTACGGGGAGCTTGGGAGATGGAGGGTGGGGCAGCACACGGGGCTCAAGCTGCAGCTCTTAGTTAACTGCTTTTCCTTTGCAGGTGTCCGATGGATCTGATGGAAAGGTGGCAGGCGAAATGCACCTGGCCTGAGCATCAAGGGCCGTGAATGCAGTGGCAGTCGTAGCTATGTGGTCGGAGTGGACTAGGATGGTCCTTCCACCAAGAAGGCTGGGCCTTCCTGCTCCTCATTGTCCAGCTGCAGAAAGTGATTGGGCTTGACACAACTGCCCCTTCCTCCACACATTCCCAAATATACCTACCCCTCCCCAACCCAATCCTCCTCGCCAGACTGTGGCTCCCGGATGACAGGGCAGAGTTGGACTCACCTGTGTCTGCCAGGCCAGCTCACCATGGGGGCAGGTCCCAAGAGGCCTCTGGATTTGGACCAACTTCAGTGTGAGCTTGAACAAGCCCTTAGCCTCCCTCAGCCTCCGTTGCATGAGGCGTTGTGCTGGTACGTCTCAGAGCAGGTGGCGCTACCTGGTGAGCCTGTCCATCAGACAGAGCCTGGATGGCTCTGTCCATCATCTTTGTCACTGTAATGCTGGTTAACAAATAAACACGAAACAATGAGTGGTCATTTCTCAGGTGCCATGGAATCGATTTAGTGGGTCCAGGGCTCAGCCAGGGCAGGCTCCCTGGTGGGCCCGGCTGGGACGGTGGCTGCTGTGCTCTGCTCCACACCTCTGATCTTCTGCAGACTTGCCTAGGCCTGATCTCATGGCAACAGCAGAGGCACACGAAGGAAGCAGCACCCATCCCTGAGCAGCAGGGAGCCACTTGTGCTGCGTCTACTCACCCTGCATGGGCTCACGGCAGCCATGGGTGAGCACTCACATGGGAGCAGAGGGCCTGGTGAGGCTGCTCGGCCAAGGGTCTGGGTGCAGGGAGACGTGGAGATTAGGGCTCTTTGCAATCTGCCACAGCGAGTGAGCCAGGGTGTCACCCCGGGACTTCTGATGGTGATCACCCACCATCCGGGTACTCCAGCTGGACCAGACCTAGCCCTGTCTTGAGGGAAAGACAGATCCTTGCCTCATCTCTTACCACAACTGCACCCAAGGCTGGTGGACTCCATAGCCATAGGAAGGCAGCTTCAGGGACAGGGTGGGAGGCTAGAGGCCTCTTGTATTCCAAAGGGCACAGATGTATGGGACAAAGCAGGGAACCACCCAGCGTCCCACTTGGCCATGTTCCTGCCAGGAGACTTAGGTGCTGTCCGGCCCACCTGGGCCTCTTTGGCTTCATCTCTACCACAGAGACTGGACTTGGGCTTTGTAAAGGTACCCGCCAGGGCTATGGTTCAGTCTCTTTGTAGAGAGACAGAGAGTGAGGGTGAGAGTGAGCCATGGAGAGAAAGAGGGGGCAGGCCTAGTCTCTGCCTCTAATTATTTGCCTCTTCCTCTTCTGCAAGTCCCCCTCAGTGGAGGTGGGATGGAGCGTGCAGGGGTTGAGGACTGGGGGATGGGTATGTGATGTGAACCCTTTTCCATGGTTCTGATGGCCTCACCCTGGGAGCCTGGGAGCTGGTCTGTGGGGTAATTCCGTGGGCAGAAGGGTTGGGGTGGGAGTGGGGGATCCCTTGGAAGCAGGGCTCTGTAGCCTTGCCTCCCTTCCCTTCCTGGGGGGTGGCTGTTCCTGGGAGGGGCGGGTGGTTTTATTTGGAACAGGAACCTGTTACAGTTAAGCAGTTCAAGATGCTGGAAATGGAGTTCCCGGGATGACTGTGGAAAATCCATGCTGAGTTATTTTTCAGGAGCACAGTGACAGTGGCACTGACTACTCTGCCTGGCAGACAGAAGTAGCAGGGATGTTTTCAAACTTTAATTAAGTCCCTACTGTGTGCCACATATTAAGCTTGGTGTGTTTTCACATGTTAATCCTGCAGTAGGGATCTCTGTGCCCTTTGTGGAGCTGTGAAATGAAGTCTCTTTGAGGGGAGCCTGTGTCCAAAGTCCAACTAAGAGGTGGAGAGGCAGGATGGCATGTCTACCTACCCAGCCTTCAGGCCATTCATCCACCCATCCACTTATCCACCCACCCACCAGTTCATCCATCCGCCCATCCACCCACACCCACCAGTCCATCCATCCATTCATCCGTCCGTCTGTCCGTCCATCCATCCCTCTATCGTCCATCCATCCCTCTATTCACCCAACCACCTATGTGTCCATGGCCCATCCATCCATCCATCCATCCATCCATCCATCCATCCATCCATCCTTCCTTCCTTCCTTCCTTCCTTCCATTTGTCTTTGCATCCACCTGTCCATCCATCCATCCATCCATCCATCCATCCATCCATCCATCCATCCTTCCTTCCATTTGCCTTTGCATCCACCTGTCCATCCATCCATCCATCCATCCATCCATCCATCCATCCATCCAACCAACCATTCATCAATTTGGCACCTGCAGCACTTTCACTTTTCTGATGACCCAGACCAGGGCCTGTTCTAGGGGCTCTTGCTCTGGGAGGTGAGTGCTGGAATGACAGGCTGGCTTGGATGCTGGCCCCAGAGCACTGACTGAGGGTCCAGGAGGAGGTGGCGCCGTAACCCAGAGAAGACCGTGTAGCTGTCCTTATAAACCCGTGCACAGCCTGGTCCTGATTCTATCCCCCGTGGCCAGCAGCACAGGATGACGATACTGGGGACTTCTGCAGGGACTTGCTTCCTACAGGTAGTTTCATGACCCGTACAGCAATCACTTTGCTGGAGTTTCATGTGATGCGTTTGGGGATGTAGAGGGTTCTGTGGATTCCCACTGGGGGTGGGGCGGGGGACAGGCAGAATAGCCTCATGGCCACCCTGTGGTGGGGCTCCCTGAGGTCACCATGGACATCCTGGCCCTGTGTCCCCTGGTGTCCTTGGTGGCTGGACCTGAGTGCTGTGAGTCAAGCTGGAGCAGCATCTGGGGCCCTAGCACGGGCACGGACCCAGTCTCTAGTGACAACCTCCCTCGTCTCACAAAGCAAATCTCTCCCACGGTGCTGTTGCCTCAGGTCCTCTAGTGATTCCTGTTGCCCTGGAGATAAAATTGCGGCATCTCAGGGTGGCCAGGAGCTTTCTCAGGGAGACCTGCTGGGAGGCCAGGAGCATGGAAGTCCCTCAGAAGGGAAGGGACGTGGCACATTTGAGGGAGAATCTCTTGGAGAGCCCTAGAGAGCTCACCCTGAAGGACGAGGAGGCTGCCACTCTCTGGGACATGTCCCACGTGGATGAGAAAGGCTGCAGTCCCCGGATCTGGGCACCATGCCTAGGCAGGTGGGGCCTGTATCATTCCCCAGGCAGGTGCCGGGCACTCAGCGCTGTCCCCAGAGACACAGCCTTGGGGGCGATGGACTCGCTGTGCCTGAGCTCCAGCTCTGTCAGTTCCTTTCTGAACATGGAGGCTGGGAGTCCCTCCTTGGGGATACTGTGGGGGCCTGGGGAGCGGGTCCTGGGTAGGTTGGCCTTGATGGGCCTTCCAGGCCTGTGGGATACACGGGTTCACAATTCTGGGACATAGGCTCTAGGAGACCCAGGAACTACTTTCCGAGAACCGAGGCCTCCCGGGGGTTCCTGCGGGGGGTGACTACAGTGGGGACCTGGAGGAGCTGAGGCAGCCTGGGGGAGGGGACTGGAACCCTCAGAGGGCTTAGTCCAGCTGCAGGAAGCTGTGGGCAGGAGATGCAAGTACTGGGTAGAGAGGCCAGGACAGGTGCGGCACTGTTGGGCCCCAGGCTAGAGCACATTTTCAAAGACAAGGGCAGGGAGGCATTTGGGCAAGTGTAAGGGGAGTGCTTTGGGACAGAGGGCCTGAAGGAAGAATGATGGTGTGTGTGGACACCGAGCTGCCACCTCCCCTCCCCCATCCTTTCCTCTCCTTCCTTCCCTCTCTTCTCTTTCTCTCCTTGCTTCTTCCTTCTCTCTTCCCTTTCCTGCCCCTGCCTCCTCTTCCCTCTCTAGCTCCTTCCTTGCCTTTTCCTCCCTTCCCCTCCCTTTGCCCTCCCCTGTCTCTCCCTTCTATCTCATCCCTTCTATCTCATCCCCTCGTGCCCCTTCCTACCCGCCCCTCCCAGCCTCTTTCCTTCCCTCCTCACGTGGCAAGCAGTCCCTGCACCCGCCACCCCGTGCTCCCCAGGGCCTGGCTCCGCAGGCCTTAGAAGATGCTTACAGGGAGGGCTGTGCTCTTTACAGCAAGAGACTCCTGCAACCGCAACCACTGGGGCCCTGCTGTCATGGGGAGGGTGGCAGTCTGGTGGAGACCACGGACCGCCCCCCAGGCACCTCCAACAGGCAGGCTCAGTGACTGTCCCACTCCTGGGAGCCACAAAGCCTGTCGCCAGGAGCCAGGCAGGGATAGCAAGTGGGGTCTTCTGAGGCCAGGGTGGGTGGTCCTGGGTTGGGGGGCCAGGGTGTGCTCTGAGCTCTTGGAGTGCCCCCAGTGCTCCTTGTCCTGGGTGAACAAGGGTCCCCGAGACCTGGCCTCTACAGGCAGCATCCCCGCCCCCCACCCGGCCGGTGCTGGCCTTGGAGGGATTCCGGGGGCACCTCTGTCCTCAAGAAGGGCTCTTTGGAGAGGAAAAAAGAACACATTTCAACACCTCCAGATTCTGAAAATGGATTTCTCCCAGGGAAACAGAGACTCAGAGCATGTTCTTTTCCCTGAGAGGGAGCCAGGAAAACAGCAATGGTTGGGGGGGGGAGGAGGGGTAGGAGGGGAGAGAAAGGCCTCAGCAAGAATCACCGAGAATCAGGACATGGAGTCAGAAGGACCTGGACTCAGGTCCTGCCGGCCACCGGTGGGCCACGGACCCACACGTGTGACTTCACCTCTCGGAGCCTCAGTTTGTTTTTCTGTCCAATGGGGTAACTCCATCTCTATCCCTGCCTTGTAAGGAATGGCTGTGGATGGGATGTGGATAGAGCAGTTCTTGCTCCTCACCCCTTCCGGAGACCAGGATGATAATGTCAGAGTGTTTCTGAATGATACCCCCAGCCCCAGGAAGGGTCAAATGGTGCTAGGTACACTGGTTCTGACTGCCGGACCCAAATCCTTGCTGTGTGACCTCAGTGAAGTGGCCGACCCTCTCTGGGATCCAGCTGCTTCTTCCATTGATTGGGCAAGGATCTCCACCTTGTGAAGTCATTGGGAAGATTCGCTGGGATGTGGATGTGGTGCCAGGTGCAGCCTGTGCTCTGGGATGTGCTCAAATTGGCTGGGGTAGGGGTATCTCTAGGCAGTGGTGGGGCTTGTCTGTCCCCGGGCATGGCCTGGCTTTGACTAGTCCCTTCTTCTGTGACTGGTCCCTCCAGGGCACATCCTCCCCACAGCCCCACTCCCTGGGCTCTGAACAGCTCTTGCTTTGGCTGGCACAGCTTTGGGCTACCTCCTACAGGAAGTCTTCCCTGACTGCCTGGTTGGGATGGAAGGGCTCCTTGGCTCTGGCCTGATCCCCTCCATGCTGTCTCTCTGGGAACTTTGCAGCTGCCTCCTTTTGGGTTTCTACGTCTCTGATCTTATGTCTTCCTCTCTGTCTTCTAGATGTCTTCATGTTTTAGAGCTGCTCTCTGCCTAGGAGGCTGCCCTGCCATGGA